AGTGCAATGAATATTTTTATGGATTATGGATAAAAAGAGAGTCAACAAAAAAAAAAAAAATTTTTGGCCACTTCAATTCGTGATCGTCGATAAAACTTGATTCTATAAGATGTTTATTGAAAAGAAAATATTACATGACGCGATGCATGATGCATGAACAACATGCATGCATGCATGCACACACATCATGATCCAAATGGAACAAAAACAATGGCATCGGAAACACACACAATGCGAGATACTGAATTGAACTAAAGAACGAGGATACGAAATTGAATGGCTAAAGAATGTCGCGTGCTCATATGCAGCTGAATTGCATTGGATGACAAACAAACAAGCAAGAAAAAATGTTATGCAGCCAACATTTTTTTCTTGCTGGACATGTCGGCTTGTTTTTGTTTTGTTGTAGTTATTTGTTTTTTTTTTTTTTTTTGAAATGAAACAAATCGCCTCGACAAATTTGACATTTGATCATTGATGATTTTTTTGTTTGTCTTTTCAAAGATGTAAAAAAAACTCTACCGAATTCATATTCAGCCAATCAGTAGCCAAGAAAAAAAACTAAAGATCATCCATCTTTTATTCACTGCTGCTGTTTGTATTCCATGTTTCATTTGATTGAGTTCATAATATTATGTTGAGTATCTGAAAAGCTTTGGAAATTTGATATAACCAGAAAAGGAAAAAATTATTTTCAAATGATTTGAAGAAAACCGCATATAAGATTGGAATTGTATTATTTGTTGAACATGACCAAATATACAACAACATTTGGGACCAAGTTGCAAGAGAGAAAGAGAAAGAGATTGGAGATTAATTTTTTACATTCCATTAACTTTTCAGACACCCTTGCTCCGAACCATCATCAAATGGATCAATTGAATCGTGAATGAAATGAATGCAAAGACTGATATTGTTGTCGTTCTTTTCAGTAATCACGAGGATAATTACTATCCATTATGACAAAAAAGGGAAATAAATTCATTAAATCATTTAGCCTCCTTGTTTATGGTTTTTTATTCATAAACTAACGACCGTAACAGGAGGTTTTTGCCTTATCCTAAATGTTTGAATTTTTGTTGCAAAATCATTGAACCATTCACCATAATTGTCAGAATATTCAAACGGAATTGATTGAAATGCTAGTCATTTGGTGATTGTTGCGGTAAATGAACATTCGGATTAATTACATTTACGATTAAAAAACAAACAAATATCGAATAAGATAAGATTTGTTAATATTTCTAACGATTCCAATGTTCAAATGTACGAATCATTGATTTTTGACAACAACAACAACAACAAATAACGATCGATCGATCGATTCTCTCATATCAAATTCAACGACAATATCAGCATATCACAAGCATATCGGAATTCAGAAATCCTGAACAAAGTCGAGCATTGATGGATGACCCTTTGAGAACATTTCATGTTCATTGATTCAGCAAAAACAATACCAACAATTGAAATATTTGTAAAAAATACTAGATTGCATTTATCGATCCATTCAACAATCTACCACTTATTGTATGTGCATGTATCCTATTGTTGTTGTTCTGATGGAAATCATTCAGAAAACCAGACCATTGTGCAACACACACTGGAAACATTTTGTACTCTTTGAATGCATCTATGTTGCAAAAAAAATTGTTAAAACTTTAACCGATATGTTTTGCTATTCTTTTATTGTGCGTATGTATTTGGGTAATTAAATTAAAAAAAAAAAACATAATGTAGATATGAGTAGCAAAATTGAACGACCGACCAATCAACCAATAACTGTTTTTTTTATGGCAACCAAATATCACTAATATCCAAAAAAGAAAAAAGCAAGCAAACCCGATTTCCAATTTTTTAAGCTAAGCTAAGCAGGAAAAATCATTCATCCAGTGTAAACCAACACATCACACACGCACACACACACACACACATCATCTTGAACAAATGTACAGAACCAAAAAAGAAAAATGTTTTGGGATCGTATGAAAAGCGGCGCGAGCTTTCAAATAATTTTGTTGGAATTTTTTTTTTTTTTTTTTTTGAAAAAAGTTTTTTTAGCTTTTTTCTCTTTGGTTCATCCCATGATCACTGTGTACTTGTATTTTATCCATTGACTAAAATTACTGCAAAATGTGTGATAATATTACACATATCCGCATAGCTGACGATGGATGATGATGAAACGGGTTTTTCATGTGTGAGTGGTGAAAAGCAAACTCGATCCAGAAACGTGATCCAGAATTCGTCTTTTCTTTTCACTTTTGGTTGGCTATCCGGCTTTTATCATGGATATAATAGTGATTCGGCAAGACCGAAAAAACCATGGCACAGCTTTTTTTCTTTATCCTTTCTATTTATTCTCATCATCATCATCATCATCATCATTGTCGTTGAAAGTTTTTTTCAAATTTCAAATTTTTTTCCATTTTGTTGTTGTTAAAAAGTAATATAAAGAAATTGCAAAACAGCGACCTTCTTTTGGCTTTCCGTTTTCATTAAAAAAAATCAGAACGATTTTCAATACAACTTACCTTGTTTGTGTTGAGGGTTCTGTAGGTTTATGGTGGTTATCGATTTCAATTTGATTCATATGGATATTATTACATGGATTATGATGTGTAGAAATCATGTCATCAAAATGTTCACAAAGACTTAATAATTGCTGATTAATTAGTTGAGATTCATGATCATCATCATTAGCATTATGGTTATCATTACGATCACTTTTTGTTTTCACAACATCATTATTACTCGTTGATTGATAGTGAGGAAAATTCATGGTTGCATGTTGTTCTTCTGTCGGTTGATCCATTGTTTAAAAATTCATAGTTGAAATCTGCATCAACGAGAATCAAAGAAATGTTTGAAATTCATAAAAATTCTATTCTAATAGTTTGATTCTAAATGTCACGAAATGAGAAAATATAAGAAAAGTGAATCATTTTATCGTAAGAAACTAAAATCAAATGATCTCTCACTCATACTTGGTGGTTCAATTTTACGAGTTTCACGAAAAAATCATAAATAATAATTTCTAGAAAAGCTGGATTGTTGAAACTTTTATCCACCCAAAAACATTTGAACGAAATAGTCATCATTCTAATTATTTGATGGCCTTGATATTTGGAACACAAACGTGTTACCATTGCCAAAAAATGAAAATTTTTTTTATAGATTTGATTTCCGATTAAAGGAATAAAATAAACCATAACGATATCAACGATATCAACAACAGATTTTTTATTCATAACCTTTCACTCTGAAAAGCATAAAATTTTGTTGAGAAAATAGAAAGAATTCAAAATTGAAATTAAAATACATGAAAACTTTCAAACAGTAAAAAATTCACCGTTGAATCCAAATGAGCAAGAATTATTATTATTAATAACAATGAAAAAAAATATCAGAATCGGATTCATGTTCATATTACTGTATAATGGACACACACACACTCACACACAGACAGACAAAAAGAAGAAAATAAAATCCAAATCAAATCAAATAATTTATTGCCGTTTCTTGGGATCCATTTACAGCACGACCATTCTACAACAACAACAGTGGTCGCAATGTGTTTGTGCTTTTGGAAAAAAAATCTGCAACTTTTTCAAATTCACTGGCCAATGACTATACACACACATGAGGAAAAGAAGAAAAAAGGTTCTATCTCTGGATCATCTTTGTTATGTTTTTTTGATGAAAATTTTTTTTGTTTTGGTTAAAAAAAACCTAAACTTTTAGCACAACATGTGTAGGATGGATAATAATAGCAACAACGACAACAACAACAACAAAAACCGACACGCACACCAAAGTGACTATCATAATATAATATACAACTGTCTCTCACAATCAACCGTGAAACCTATGAAATTCCTGAATCCCGACCAACACGAATGAAAAAAAATGATGAAAAATTTTAGCCAAAAAAACCCAAACCAGAGAATTATTTTCTTTCTTTCTTTTCTTTTCTGGCTTTTGGATATTTATTATTGCTATTATTTTTGTCGTTGTTATTATTGTCGAATGAATGAATGGAACAACAACAAGAGAAAAGTCAAAGCAAATTACAATAGCGCGTCTGTAATCATCATCATCATTCTTCGCATCCAAAGAACTAACAATTCGGCCAGAGTTGAATTAGAAAAAAAAATTAATTTCAATCTTGTCATTCGGTAGTCATTCATTTATGAGAAAAAGTTTTTTTCTTCTTTTTAAATGAGAAAATTTCAGTTTTTTCATTTTTTGCTTTGCTTTGGTTCCAAAGATGAAATTGACTTTGAAAATTATTTTTTTCTAATTTCCAATTTCGATACCAGATGAGAAACCAGATGGAAAAAACCAAATTAATCGAATTGTTGGATTCGATTATCTTTTTTTCTTTTCTTTTTCAATTCGCTCTGTTTCGATACCGATCAGTATCGAACCAAATATATTGATTCCGGTAACATATCATATGCTTCTTATCAATGAATTTTGTTAAACTTGTTCATTCAAATCAAAATTGAATTGAAAAACTTTCTTATTACTCTCATTCTCTTGATTAAGATTTTAACGAAGTGAATATTTGAAACACTTACCTTTTATCAAATTGCAAATATTTTCTCTATATCTTTCTCACACGATGAGATTCATATATGTGTAACATTAAAAAAACGTACACAGCCACAAACGGAAAATCAAAAATCAAAAAAACGAAATGGAAAAAAATGAAAAAAATTCAAAGTTTTCCCGGTTCAATCAAGCAAAACACGAAAATAGGAATAGCCATCTTAACCATTGGAACATGAATGAATGAATGAATGAACCGCATCACTTGAATGGTGTGTCATGAATGAATTGTATGTCACCATTGAACGCTGATTCATATAGCCGCTATAGAGTGAAGAAAAATATAGAAATGATGATGATGATGATAAGTATTAGCAAATGGCGCGTGCGTATGATTTCAAATCTTATGAATAACGCCATCTGCGTTATGAAAAACATTGGAATTGTTTTTGATTTGATGAATGAAATTCATTTTATTCAATATAGATTTAGATATAGTTATTATAGATAGATTAATTATCGCAAAAAAATTCGACAAGTGAACTTTGTTTAAGCCATGCTTTTTCCAAAGTGATGGCATGACAAATCATGTTGTAACCGGTGAATTGACAGGATTCAATATCCCGATGATCAGATTTAAGGCAATCTGTTTCGCCAAATTCAAATGTTGCCCGATATTTGATGCCAGAGACAATTTGATATTCAGCCTGACGAATCTTAGCGATACGATGTATGGTGTTCATGTTGAGTCGATTATCCATTTGTCGTTCCAAGTGTGATAATGATTGACGGAGATGTTCATCATACACGTCCATTTTACGGAAATCGCCCACAATACTTGCAGCGATGGCCATTGATGCAACGATCAACAACAACAATGATGCTGATAAACGATGTATTGCCATTTTTTCTTTTGTCTTTTAATGGTTTCTATTATTCAATATTCAAGTGATCAAGTGACAATGTTGAATCTATGAATCTATGATTTTTCCCATGAATTTACATGGTTTATATATGTATATAGACTAGTAGATATTTTTGCTCAAATCGTCTATTATCAATATATTTTCAAGTGTTTATCATCATCTGCAGCAACAACATCAAATAGTAGATCATTTAAATCAACATTTTAAAGAAAACAATGTACTCAATCCAAAGGGTATTGCAGAATTGCAGGTAACTTTGACAATGATTGTAATAATGGAAATCGATGGAAATTAAGACAAATCAAATCAATCTATCGATCAATGTGTGTGGTAATTGTTTGTTTTTGGTGGTTGATGGCCACACTTGTTGTTGTCAACGTGAACCATATAGATTTTTTTTCGATACTTGCAGAAAGTGCTAGAAAAACATATCAATCATATTTTCTCAGTCTGATTAGATTGGATCCATTGATGATGGGATGGAAATGAAATTGTACATCTTTATAATTAATTAATCTTTTCTTTTTTTTTCTTTTCAAACAAATGTTCATTCTTTCCAATAATAGCTGCTTGTTGATTTCATGTATTTGCTTCAATGGCGCTGACCAAATCTAGATTGTTGACGAACGACGTAATTATCTGTAAACTAGAGAAAATTTGAATTCGAACTGAATGAAAAATTTTGCGACGATTGAAAGGAAAAAATCGTACATGACAAAAGACACGTTAGCAAAAAAGAACAAAAACTTTTTTTCGTTTGCATGTTTTCTTTCTGCTGCTACTGCTGTTGCTGCTGCTATTTAGACACTATGTAGCTGACCTCACTATCTGCAGATGGCGGTGGTGATTTTTTTTGAATTTTGTTTTAAATCCTTAAAACTTAAAAAATGGTTGAAATGGCATATAGGGCGCCATCTTTTGATGATTAATACAAAACTAGATTCAAAATGAAGATCGGTAAACACGTTTTCGAAAAAAACCTTTGATCATATTTATATCGGCATAACGGCATTGCCGTTTGTTTGATTAGAAAGATGTTTGTAAATATAGAAAGGTTGATTCATGGTTGATTGGAATGAAGAATGTTTGGTGCATGTTTGTATAAATACAGGTAGCACAAATTCATATGTATACATTTGTGATCATCATGGTTATTTTTATTTTTAGATATGGATAGAGATAGGATAGATTGATAGCCATGTAATGTAACAACAATATAAACATCAGCAATAAACCAGGACTTATGCTTGCACTTGAAGACTATATACTGTATATGGTGTATATGGTGTATATTTGCATTTCCATGAACATATGTTGCATTTTTTCATGACAACAATTTGCTCCACTGTAAATAGTACGATCACAATATATTGATACAAATAGAGCAATTAATCCATGGGGATCAATTAAAATGAATGAAATTACCAATATCCAAAAAAAGCCATTTTATTGACCGAATCATCGTCATTTCGCTTGCTTAAATGTTTATTTGTTGTTATATAAGCCGGACATTGAAATCGATTGTTTTGTCAGATAGGAACGACAAAAACGACACCCCACATCATCAACTAATAAAAAGCAAATGTTTTGTTTTTTGACATGTTCATTTTGACGTCACAGAAAAATAGATTTGCATGAAGGCAACAAATATGTAAAGTGCAGAAAAGAGAGAGAGAGAGAGAGAGAGAGAGAAATTACCAAGTTGACAACTGTCTAAAATTCCATGGTGACAAATTTATTTTTTTCATTTTTTCTGATGATCAATTTGGTTTGTTTGTTTATTATTCTCATATGTCAAAAAAAAGTTTAAACAATCTATGATTCATTCTATACCAACATACAACGACAACGACAACAAAGCGGACCAAGAAGGAATTTTAAATTTTTGCTATATCGAATCAATACTAACCATGAGATTGTGTGATTGATTGATTGACTGACTGAGTGAACTGATTTTCTCTCCATTTTTTCCTCGATTGATTGAGTGACAAATCTTATGTTTCATGCATACAATCAATAGATGAATGTGGATGTGAAATCGATATTTTCTCATCATATTTTCATCACATGAAAGTTCATCACACACCATTTTTGATAGACCGGTGTAAAAAAAAAAAAAACAATACATTTTGTTGTTGTTTTGATCTTCAATGCTGTGCTGTTACGATTAATTCAGATCAAAATCCCTGATGGTTATGATAATGAGAAAAATGAGGAAGAAACTACTATGGAACAAAGCATTAAACAATCCATGGCAATGTGTCCTTGTTTATTGTGATGTGATGTGATTTTTCATCATTTAATTGATTTTGTTTTTTGTCATCTCCACATCATCATCATCGTCATCATCGTCATCATAGAATTAGGAAGGTAATCGATTTAAAATTCTACTTTTTTTATTGCTGGTCCAAATGCTTTTTTGATTGCTGATTTGAATTCAATGTACACGTGTATTGTGATTGATATTTTCTTTTTCTCTCAAGTCGGATGGATACATTTATTTCTTTTACAAATAGGATTACCATCTTGTATTGATTGACTATGGAGAACCTATGGTTGTGAAACACTGATCGATGGATTGTCCGGACTCCGGACTTTTGTTTACAAAAATATGGTAGCCCTATATACAAAAAACCATGTTTGATGGATTGATCGATCACTTAATTGATTAGATGAAAGGCATTAAATTCCTAATGAACAATCTTTGTTAGTAAAGCCGATTAATTTGAACATGTTCAATATGTTGAATTTCAAGGAATTTCTTTTTTCATTCTTGTTCATTTAGTTCATGTTCAAATTAATATCGAAACATCAAAATGATGTTGAGCATGGTTGTCGGTTAACGCCGCCGACATCGCCCTATGTCTGAACTGTCTATAAACAATTGAAATCATCAATTGATTGATTGTTTTCCATTGATTAATTGAAATGTTTTTTGTTGAAATCAAATCAAACAACTACATTTTCCACCGTTGAAAAAACTTGTAAATTTTTGATGATAAATTAGACATGGAGTTTGTAGGATTTTTTAAAATTTTCCAAATTTCAAATCTTAATTTATTGATCGAAAACTTTTTAAGAAATTTTTTCAAAAAAAAAAAACAAAACAAAAATAAAAACAAACCAGGCAACCAAACGGTGAATGAAATTAATGTGTTTGATGATTTGATGATGATTATTATTGCAACATCAGACAGACAAAAAAGATTATGATTGACACATGTGTGTATATAAATAAAGAAACCGAAATGAAATGAAAGTCGCTTGAGTTTCATTGCTTATCATAATTATTAGTGATGACGACAAATATAAAATCCTACTAACTAATTCATCCTTGTTTGAATTCCAGTATATACATGTGTATTGTGTAAGTGGGGCACCTGTAGTTTTCAATGGAAAAAATCCAAAGAATTCCATTCTCATTGCCAAAACACCCAGATATACTCGTCTGTATTTCTGTATTGTTATTAAAAATTCCAAAAAATGAATTGAAATACGGTTATTCTCATTTCTCTTTTATTTTTTTCCATTCGATTCAATCTTATCGATATTCATCTTGATTGATTGAGTGATCGTGGTTGCGGTGATCAAATGTTAATGATCATTATTTCATGGATGTCAGGCCTGGCTGCTTCTCATAATTATAATTATTAGCCGTTCTTATGGAAAATTATTATTTTCAATCAACATTTGCCATTGAATATAACGAGTAATCACTCATAATGTATAATGATGATGTCGATGTTAAGGAAATGAAAAATCATATTGCCATTCAACTTTCATCCACATTGATAACGACAACAAAGACAACAATCATCAATTACCATATGACATTTTTCAAGTGAATACTTAACCTTTTCATTTTCATTGAAATTTTGCTTTATCCAGGTTGTTTAACGTTATATGGTTTCCATCTTTGATTTTACCTTCGTTTTTTTGCTTAATTATTTATTTCTTGGCTCATAACTCGTACCAAAAAATATATGATATGATTCAACTTTATCAACAAAATTACCAAATAAAATGAAATGACAATGATGATGATATAGTCGTAATAAATGTGCTGTAATTTTTACTTGTCCCTTCACAATAAACCAAGAATTTTATTGCAATTTTGTTTGACAAAACTATCAATGAAAACTGTGATTGTAATACGGAAAAGAATTATTATTGTTATTGTTAGTAATTTGATAGACAGAAATCACCTAAATTGATAAGAAAAATTATTTTAAATTAGGACTTATGGCTTATGAGTGAGGTTTTTTGTTTCAAAAGATTTGATTCGAATGGTTATAAAATTTAAAATAAAACCATAAACAACCCACATTCATGATATATTTAGGATTGACGTAGATAAAATGTGACGGCGATTCATCATTTTATAATTACCGTTATCATACACTATTCATGATTATCAGACATAAATTAGAATTAGAACATGTCATGTATTGGCCGAATTTCGTTTGCATCATCATTATGTTTATTATCATGTTTATGACTTTGATTTTGATTTTGATTTTGACTGATTTTTTCAAATAAATTATTAAAATAAAATTATAAAATGCTTGTTGTTTCTTTTGTTCAGATTCACAACAACTAATTACCATCCATCGCTTGTTTTAGCTTAATGTGTGTGTGCGTGTCTGTTTGTTTTTCAGTGAAGAATTGATTGATTAAACATTTGTTTAGTTCCAGTGTTTGAATAACGAATGATTTTGGTTTTACTAATCACTATACACCAGTCTTTTATGAAAGGTAGGTGTCAATGCCATTCATTTTTTCCTCTTAATCGATCAAGTATTTTTCAAATTTTTAACCAGGTAGTTTAAGTGTATGAGTGTCGTTGTTGTGTCGAACCAACAAACTTTTACAGGAAATCCGACAACTTTTTATTGTTTTTTTAAATTGTCAATAATTGGTTTAGCTATCTTTTCATTCGACTATCGAATCCAAGATGGCGATATAGTGTTTTTCTGGAATGAAAAAAATCATTGAATATTTAATCAATTGAATGAACAAAGAAAAAACAAAACAATGAACATGATAATTCAATTAAGATTCTGGCCATGTTGTTT